AGGATAGGGTATGCCTTCCAAGGAGAACCTTCTCAAATTCCTCTTTATTTTTGCTATAAGGTTTATATGTCTATCTGCCAAAGTATTTTGAAACTTGGAAACCAATGCAGAGATTATATATGTAAATGTTGAATATAAGAACTTGGGAATCTTAATTTTTCCTAACTAGAGACAGAGTTTATATAAATATATAATATCTTTAATTTTAAAGATTGCAGCATAGTGTGAATAGGTTGGCTTCACCCTCCCAAATGCATGTGTTGGTCTCCCCCAAGCGTGACCAGGCAGCGGCATCCATGTGTAAATCCTCATTAACACGATTTGTATGCGCACCCAGCACCGGGGAGCTGGTTGGGCATGGGGCTTGTGCCTTGCAGCTGACACAAACCAGGACTGCACATGTGTGCGTGCTACTAAGCTGCCTATTTATTTTATGCCTGAGGTTTATTAAATTTTTTTGTAATTTTTTTTTATCTTCCTGCAATTAAAGTGCTATATTTTGTATTTTTCTTGCAATGTGGTTTTTGGTTGCAGTGAGTGGGGTGTCGTATCTCTGGCGGGGACAGCCTGGTATCTCTGTCTCGCTCCTGCCCTGGTCTTTCCTGCGGTGGGGTGTGTGTTAAGCCTCTGCTGTCGCCTCCCTCCTGCTCTGTAACTGCCTGGTTTCATCTCTGGGGCAGGAGAGGAATGAGCCAAAATGCTGTAATGCAATGGAGGGAGGAAAAGGGTATTGTTCATAGGGCCTTCATTCCAGGGAGCGTGAGGAGACGTCCCTGCCCATCTGCCACTGCGCTGACCTGTGTACCCTTAGCGCTCTGACCTGGGCTGTGATGCTCCAAGGCCATGGGATGGGGCGGGGGGCAGTTATTTATGGTCTTGCTCAAAGGCATACTCTTGTCCTTCCCCCATTATCGCCTGGTGGAGCCTTTCCCCACTGTCTCCTCCACCCACCTTTCTCATGGGCCCTGGTCTAGTGAAGGTGGGTAGTGTTTGGGGAGAAGCAAGGGGAAAAAGGGAGCATCTGCCTTGGTCAAACGAAGGCAAGGTTGCAGCGGGGGGGGGCTGAGCATCTGCACTCTCACCTGCCTTCACTTCAAGCCTGTGTTTGGGACAGCACCTCAAGAGGTTCTGGAAGGGTATGAAGACCATGTCTGATCTGTCACCTTGCCCCCTGTGAAGGACAAACACCACCAGCTCCTTCCCCATAGCGGGGTCTGCCGTGGGCTCTGGGTCAGCCCTGCCAAGGGGTGCAGGCAGGGAAGCACCAGACTTCATGGGGTGACCCTGGTACCCAAGGTACCGGGGGATGTAGGTGCTTGTGAAGGGGATGCCTGGAGATCCAGGCAGCTGGAGGCTGAGTCTCCTTAGGAGATGCTGAGGAGATGGATGCAAAGCTGTCCGCCCTGCCTGGGTATCAAAGCAGATCAGCCCTCTTTCGCTGCTCTGCCTTTTTCTATTAACGATAGAGACCTTCCCAAGCACGAGTGTGTGGTCAGGGCACAGTTAAGATGTGAGGACCCTGACCTGGGGTGAGTTGACTACAGCTGACCTCTGCCAGGAGGTTGTTCTGTCTGCAGGATTGCTAGCTATTTTGGGGTGAGCAGCTCAGCCTTCCCAATGAAGCCTCCCTAAAATATTAAGCGTTCAGCTCTCATGGAACTTGAAGCTGACCCCCCTGCATCCCTCCAGGGTAAGCAATTACAGCCTCTGTCCCAAAGAGCAATGGGTGCGCAGCAGACAACACACAACTCATAGCACCCAAAAAGTGCTCTGAGGTGGGAGACCCAGCTGACACTTTGTGGTTATACGTTAGGATTAAGGGAGGCCCTGCGTCCCAAACTATTTATGCTATGAGCACCCCGCTCTGTGGCTAAGTTGTTCTCCATGCCCCAACCGTGTCGGTGGGACACTCGTAGTCCTGCCTGCGCCCTTGTGCACATCCCTTGCAGGCATTACAGCATGTGGCTTTGGTGCCTGTGAGCAGAGGTGGCTGCAGACCAAGGTTTTTGAGGATGCACCAGGATCCTAAGTGCAATGAAGTCCCCAACTCCTGTAAGCTCTTACGGGATGCTTGGTCACGGAGGTGGGGATTGCACCTCGTAGGTGCGCTGCCCGTATTCGTCCCCAGCCCTTCCCTGCTCCTCCCGAGGGCCGTTGCAGTGTCCCCAAGGGGTTTAATCCTGTCCTTTGTGCTCCCTCAGAGCGTGAGGAAGACTCACCTCCCCGTGGGTGAGGTGCCTGGCGGGGGGAGCCGGTGGGGGGGAGGCAGGAGCAAGCCACCCACTGCGGTCTGCGCTGGAACAACACGTGCCCACTTGTGAAACACATGATGGGCTGCAGGCTGGGGCACCATAAACACCACTTGCGGTTTCCCCAGATGTCCTGGTGCAAGTCCTTCCTCAGAAACCACCATCTTGTGCACGCCTGGAGCCACCTGCTACGTATTCAGGGCTCTTTCAATTTCCACCCCAAGACCGCGGAAGAGCGGTGGGGAGCAGAGGTACCTTTTGTTGGACCCGGCTGCGCTGTTTATTTTTAGTGTTCCCATCGTGCCTCAGAGCCCAGAGTTCGGTTTGGGACTATGCTGCACCTCACTCCATAGAACCAGCAGCATGGCTCCTGTCCTGAATGGCTTCCAAGCCATGTCCAAGAGGGGACAACTGGTGGGTGTGGAGGGACTGGGAAGGAAACGGTGGGACAGGGTCTTACGGCAGAGGTGGGATGCAAGAAGGATAATGTGGTGGGGTCCGTGACTGCGGGCAGGGGTCCCCTTTTTGCTCAGGGCTCAGGTAGGACTCGGTTTGTGCCTAATGCCTGGTCCAAGCTGGACATCCCCAGCTCTATCCCACCCCCAAAATCCAACATGAGAGAAGCCTCCAAGGCTGATGCTTACTCATGGACAAAGGACCAGATGCTCCGGCAGACGGGAGCAGGTTTCGAGGTAACTGTGCCAGGTTGCACTAAGAGATGTTCTGGCCCAGGCTCACGGTGGCCTTTGTAAAAGCCAGGAGGAATTTCTGCACATCTCATACTTTTCCTGCAAACCTCTTGGCCAAGCAGGCAGGACTCTGCCGTACCCACCGCCCCGGCTGGGGAGCGTGCTGGTGGTGTCCGGGAGCGCCCTGACCCGGAGGCAGCACCTGCATCCCAGCCACCCATCCCTGCACCTTGCCTGGCCCCCAGCAGCTCCAGTGAGCTGCTCGGTGCAGCTGCGCCGAATCTTAGTGGTTTTGGGTGACTGGGGACTCAAATACTTTCGTTGGTTTCTGTTCACTTGGGTTCTTCTCTATGGCCTCACTGAAGTGAAACCTTGGCGCCTGGTGTCGGCTCTTCTTCGTCAATGGCTCATCTGTTGGCAAGTCCCAACAGTGGCCCGTGTCTTCAGCTGAGGGTCCCGTCCCCAAATCCTGGGGATGCAGTACCCACTGCATATAGCATCCGTGGCACAGGCTGCATCCACTCCGATGAATGATCCTCACCGGTGTAGCAGGATTGTGGGTAGCATGAATGAGAAGCTCAAAGGCTGTCCTCCCCAAAATGCTTGCTGCTTGTCCAAATGTGGTTTCCTACACCTTGAGCATGTGTGTGAGTTGGAGCAGTAATGCCATCAAACTCCCACCCGATGTGGGAATATTTCCTTGCTTCCTGGGAAGGCCAGCCCAGGTACCGGCTCCTGCTGCTCCTCCAGAGAGGGCTGCGATCCCTGCGGACACGGAGAGGTACTTTCTGGGAGCTGCCCATGCTAAACTCCTGCCTTCGGGAGCAGAAGGGCAGAGCGAAAGTTTCACATGGGAAGGAAAGAGTAGCTTGGTTTCCGTGGAGGAAGACTGACCTTTCCTTGCAGGAGATACATGGTTCTCCTCAACCGTGTTTGGGAAGCAGCAGTGTGCTTACCCAATCCTCGTATCGGCCAGGGCAGACAATGTGGGGGAATTTTCTATCGACCCCTTCTCTAAGGTCTTCCGACATAAAGACATCTACTCCATGGTGTACACTGGAGCACTTCGATTTCTGGGTGCTGCAAAGGACTTCATAAACACTGCAGCCCCCACCTGATGCTTTGCTCACTGACTTGGGGTGTTATTTGGGTTCAAAGCCAACCTTACTCCTGAGATTTGTCATGGCTGGAAGGCAGTTGTGCCACTGGGAAGGATTTTCCTTGGGAGAAGATGAGCCTGGTTATATCCTGCAGCGTTATCAGTCTTGTTCCTTAATGTGCTTTGGTAGTTTCCCATGATGTGCCCTTCAACAAATGCAAAAAAGACCACCGCATGTGGCTTCAGGAGCAGAATTCAGTGTCTATGAGGACAACCAGCTTCTACCCATCCCTCCTGCACGCTTGAAATAGAGTGTTGAGGAGTTAGCTGGTGGCAAGTCTTCTGCGTGGAGAACAGGCTTGCTGGACTGGGGAGAAGGAAGGTGAGGTTTGGATCCAGAGCTCCAGTCCAGCTAAAGCTCCTGAGATTTAGCCCATCTCAACCTGGAGAAACAGGAAAAGCTCTGCAGCCATCTCCGTCCAGCTCCGGAGGCCAAGTGCTCTGCGCAGAGAGACGACCACAATTCGATCGCAGGTCCCAGCTCACAGTTGAACTGTTCAGG